GATACCCTACAAAGTCTACCACTTGATGTACGTGACCACACTCTCATGTACGTATAGGAATAGAATAAAAGGAAAAAAAACAAAAGAAGAAAAAACAAGAGAAAAGAAATAAAGTTATATACAAGAAAAGAGAAAACAAAATAAATATTATAATTTATACAAAACTTACCTCCCCGGCAACAGCGCCAAAAACTTGACAGGACTAAAAGATTGATGTCTTCTCCCAAGTGCAGGAGTGTCGAAGTAATAAATAACCCGGCAAGACCGGGGTCGAACCACAGGGAGAGTAATTGTACAAATAATAAACAACATAATAGCAATAATAACAACAACAATAACAACAACAACAACAACTATAATAATAGTAGTAGTAGTAATAGTAGTAGTAGTAGTAGTACTAATAATAATAATAATAAAGAAAGAGAAGAAGAAGAAGATGATGAGAACTTGGAGATGGAAAATTAATGTAAGGATTAAACAATAATAATAACAAATGTCAAGGTTAGAGGTTCCACTAATGGTATGTCAAACAAGTATAGTATAAACTCTTATTATTCAATTGGAAACCACACACAAAGGAGGTTCCAATGAGATTATAGATTGTTAACATGATTACATTAGTCATCTTATTCGATTAATGCTAATACTTGTAAATCTCGTCAAGCATTCATGATTATAACTTATGTTAACAACAAATCAAGTTCTTTTCATAGCTCAGGTGTCGGTTATACCATACAGTATGGGCTATGAAAGTGCCAAGTATTTGTTGTACCAAGTGTTATAAAACATAAATCAAGATTAGTCATTTAACAAGCAAAGTATTAAAGAGTGAACAAGATAACAAATACAAAACATATTAGTATCAAACATTAAAGTCCATATTAAGTTTACACTATACTTATTCTTACACCATTAGTGTAGCCTTTTCACCTTGACATAATAAACTTAGCTAGACATAATGAAAGAAAGAAAAATAAATAAACAAAATAAAAACATAAATAATATAAAAGTTAACTAAGAAAATGAAAGGAAATGAAAGGCATAAACTTGATATTAACGAAAGCAAAGCATAAGCAATACAAAACATACAAATTGAAAAAGGAAAAGCATGATCTTGATCTGGAAACCAAGATGCCTAAATGCATGGGAAATGCCTCCTTTTATAGGCCAAAATCAGAAACTATTGATTTGATGACTAATTGATGAGTGGGTAGCCAACTCTTGACTTGGTGACAATTCTTATCTTCTCTTTTCTGCCCAAAACGTCATTGATAACGTCAAAATTGGATCCACTCAAAAACATAAAATTTATAGGCAATTGTCTCAGCTTTCTTGTGTAAAAAATGCAGCTCATTTGGACTTCTAGAACTCCAGATATGGCCAAAATACTGAACAGTGCTCGGGCTGAAGGACACCTTCGGGCTTCTTTGTTGTTCCAATAATTTGGACTTGAAAATGGTCTTTTTAGATCTTAGGCTCCATATGAAAGTTGTAGGCCTATGTCTTACCTTTCCATCCATATAAAGTAGACCTAAATCTGAGATCTATAGCTCTAGATATGACCCAATTACCGAATAGTGTTCCGGTTTGGATTGCACCGACATCTCTTTTCTAATTTTGGTCATCTCTTTGCCCTTGCAATTTAAGTTCTTAAAGTCATCAATCAATTCTTTCATTTATATGATAGGCTTGCATTTAAAATGAACATTTACCACAAATTAAAGGTATCTTATATTATTAGATATATTATTATAAAACATGCTTTAGTTAAGGAGTTATTGATACTTCAAGTGTAAAATGATGATATAAAACCATGATAAAAATGCACTTTTAAGTACTAATCACTTGTTACCTTCTTTATTCAAATATTAAGTCGTGAGTTCTCCATGAAAGATTTAGGACCGATGCATTATTTCTTAAGTGTTGAGATTTCTACCACAACAGATAAACTACATTTCTCTTAGTCACACTATGCACTTATCATCCTTGACCACTCTAATATGCTTCATTGCAAACCCATGAGCACACCTTTGGAGGTCAAATTCAAAATAGATATAGATACTACCTCCATTGTTGATCCCAGTCAGTTTTGTAGGACTGTTGATGCTCTTCAATACCTCGCTCTCATGCAACTAGATCTATCCTACAATGTCAACTATGTTTCACAATTCATGCACAATCCTACAGTTGCCCATTTGAGACTGGTTTAGGGCATCCTTTGATACCTCAAAGGAATAATTGCTACTGGTTTACATCTCTCTTCCAATACAACTCTTGAATTGCATGCCTTCTCTGATGCAGATTGGGCTGGCTACCCCACAACACGAAGATCTACCATCGGCTACTGCACCTTTCTTAGCACCAATATCATTTCCTGGTATACAAAACAACAACACACAATCTCTCGATTTAGTACCGAAGCTGAATATCAAGTTATGGCTAATACTATTGCTGAATTTCATGGCTCACATATATCCTTAAAGATCTTTGCATGTATCTATCAAATCCACAAGTCCTCTACTACGACAATATCAGTGCTCTATACATGACCATCAATCTTGTCTTTCATGCTTGGAGTAAACACATTGAGTTGGATTACCATTTCATACGCGAACAAGTTGCACTTGGATTACTTATCACTAAACATATATCCTCTGCTAACTAGGTTGCTGATATGTTTACTAAATCAGTGCCCAAAGCTGCTCTAACATACTTTCGCAACAAATTATGCCTTCTACCCCGACTTAGTTTGCGGGTGGATATTAGCAATCTACAGCCTCATGTTAGCAACAATCGTGTGAGTCTATCCCACAAATCATAAAGTGACAAAGAAGAATTATGGAGTAATAAGGATGCTCATGCTCACAGACATATCAAAGGAAATATGGTTGGTGCTAAGAACTTTCAAAGAGTAATAAATTCCTACGTCAATGGTAATTCAACATATAAAGGAAACTCCAACAAGTTGACAACTACACTTGATGATTCCCGTTAGTATTTAGCTGTTGAATTTATAGAGATAGAATATTAATATTTTCCTTCCTTATCTTGCGTAACAACTAAGAATGTATGAGTCTATATATACTTTCTTAGTTAGTATAGAGATGCACTGGTGAAAATTAATATAGACTTTCTTTTCTTATAGCAATTTTATTTTTTTCTTTAAAAAAAAAGGGTTAAAGTGCCACTCTTCTAGCCCCTGTACGATATTTCACTCCATAAACTTTGTCAAGATGATTATCTAGTCCATTAAACTCTATCTCATTGGATTCGGGTGGCAAAAATCGATTTCTCTTCATTAAAAGTTGTTGTAGCATGTCTACCCTCCAAACTTGTTTAAGTATCATTAACTTCTTGAGATCATAAGCTTGTTGGGTGTTAGTGCTATCAAAATATGTTGTAGCAATAGCATTCCATATGGCTTTCCCCGTTGGAAATACGATATAGTTACTTTGGATCCATTGAATTAATCAATCATCCCTTCACCACCGCATTTTCTATTTTAAAATAAGTCCTTGTAATCTCTTAAAAAAAATCTTCTATTGACGACTCACACCAACAACCAGCATTTAAGAACAAATAGATCACTGTTTAAATGTTCTTAAAAATCCTCTTATATGAACTTATAAAAACTTCTTAATTTTTAAATAAATACCTGAACTAGTCTAAGAAGCTGAATGGGTCATTATAAGCACTTAATGATGTGATGGAATTTGATGATTTGTTTTTTTAATTTAACCCTCCAATAAAAAAACTTTGTCGACCCTCATTTATTTTGATTTTTATCTTTATTCTTTTAATTATATTTGTTATTTAATATTTATTTGCTTCTAGTTTAATAACTCAAGTCATGGATTTGAAATGTTGAAGCAAGTTGATATTTTTTTTACTCATTTTCTTCTTTGATTTTATTGTTCAACATTAATTTTTTATACAAAAAATCAGTTTTGTGGTTTTTCTTAATTTCTTTTCTATCAAGTTATTCTAATCTCATGACCCTTATAACGAGTTTTGCAATTAACCTTGGTTGACTTATTACCAAAATTACATAATTATCATGCTAACTCAGATTTAATCATAAATGTTTTTTAATCAAATTCCATACTTTCAAGGTTGGTTTTTTTTCTAAATTATTGTGCTCTTTATTTTTATAAGAAAATTTATTTGTTTGTTACCATTGCTTTTTTTTTTTTATCTTCTAATTAAACTAGAACTAATTTATTAAACTTGCATATGTAACTAAAATAGTTTTTTTTTTTTTTTTACTCTCTTAAATACAATTGTATCGCCTAGACTATCACTTGCTCTTTCTTATTTTCATATTCTTATTTTGGTTTCTATACTTTTTTTAATGTTTTTTTAAATAATTATTAAGTTTATGTTTTCACTTAATATCCTTCCTCTATAATTTTTTATTTTGTTTATTTAGCCTTTTAGAATTAAGGGGTTTTTTTATAGTTTTTTATTTAGCCTTTTAGAATTAAGGGGTTTTTTTATAGTTTTTTTTTCATGTTTTACATAGATGAACTTAATTTTAAAAAATAAATTAATTTAATGTGCGAGCTTACATTATATTTTATTCAAGCCTTATATTTTATTCTATTTTTTTAATCAGCATCTATTTTTATTATTTAATTAAATAAAAAATATATTTTAATAAACAAATTGGATAAACACATTATAGAATCAAATATCTTACGCGCAAGCTTTTAGATAGTTGATAAAGCCAGCGTCACTTTCTTTTCATTTATTTACACATTTGATCAACTTATATTTAATTAGATAGTTGTATAAGCTTTTAGATTTACACTTAAGAAAAAAATATGTTTAAAACCCGTTGATAAAGCCAGCGTCACTTTCTTTTCTTTTTTCTTTTAAAAAAAAAACCCTTCAACCTATGACGCAGAGCTGCATCAAAAAGCTATAGGAAGAACTAAGACGATGAAACTTTTAGTAGCTAATTAAGATGTTACTGTAAGTAAACAAAAACCACATGTAACTAGAGTGAATCAGGATAAATAGTACTTGATAAATAAAGGAAAAGGTAAGTACTGGTAGGTGGTAGATTACACCGGTCGGAGAGCAGATTCTGTGAATCATCAGTCCAATACATCTACGACCACCTTCAAGTCATAATAATGTACAGAAGCAGGCGGTTTGTATCAAGTCATTCCAAAGGGTTAACAAATTGATATCCATGGATCATTTATACTTCAGCTCTTGCTGTCTGTCTGGCCATCTGTCAACAGCAATCAGTTCACGTTAAAAACTCCACAAAGCACATGACAAAAAAGAGTTCTGCATGGAAGACTCATCAAGTTAAAAACAATCTTGGCCTAAAACTGAAGTTTCCCTCAAATTTGAGAGATGTGAATTTTATAGCATTTTCTTCAAACAAGAACTTTCATTCTGTGTGAATGTAATGATCACAAGAGATTTTTACCCGCTGGACTCACCGTCCCATTCAGCATTCAAGAAACCAGCCTCGTTTGCCAGACACTAGTAGTCACAAATTTGGCTTTGGTTGGTTGGCATAGAAATCACTTGATGCAATCCAAGAGCAGGGATTATTTTCAATATACTTGTAAGACTTGTATTGTTATTTGAAAATAGTCTATCCTCCTTGCATTGCATCATATCACGACAAATAGCAATCAGGCAGCAGCTCATGTATATGAGGCATTGATCGTATCAGGATCATACAAGATTGAATTTGGAAGCAATTGTCAATATAGCGAAGGCATTTCATCAAGTGGGTGATTTGAAATGCAATTCCAAGAGAAAAAAAAATTGCAGATTTAAGTTTGCATACATTGGGATGAGGACAGAGGTACTGTTTTTTCAACAAAGTCTGAATCAACTAACTCATTTATCTTGACGGTTGGTGAATAGAAACCCTAACACAACACTCAACACAAAATGTTTGTAGACTCCTAATACAACAGACAAGCTGAAGATGATCGTAACAAAAATTTATTTTATTTTTTCTCATAAAAGAAAATAAAATTGTAATAATCTAAGTAAATCAGAGCTCATATTTTCACAAACCATAGCTTACTATTTTATAGCAAAAAGACTGACAACAGTTAAAAAGGCACTAGTAAATTAGTAATTGCTTATTTTAAGTGAGATTCTAAACATCTCCATCCTGTCAGATTTCAGTACCAAATAAGAAAGTCATTTTGGTTTGATTTGTTGCATAAATTCTTAAAATTTTGAATGAGGTTTTGTCTTTATCAAATATATGCGCAGTACAGGTCAGAAACAATTATAAGTTCCAACCCCTAAACCCTTCAGCCAACTCAACGACAAATGGTTTTCAATTTTCTAATTGTAACCCACTCTAGAAATATAATGTGACAAGCCAGGGAAGGATTCAGCTTTGCCAACCTTTATAGGATATAAAATTAAATGCTTCCTAGATTTCATACCTCAGTTTAGCAGCCAAGTCGTAGAGTCCTCTCCCGGGGTAGACTTCTCTTTTGAAAATTCTGTATCAGAGTTTGGTGCATCAGAGACCATATCATCATTCAAATTCAGGGTTGGGGCCACTGATGGTACTGCATTTTGAGGAGCCTGTAGAAAATCCAGGGAAAAAAAATGATGGTGAATTCACTTTCAGACTAGCGAACATGAAGAATTGGTTATGCATTTGACATTTGAATGAATGTCATGATAATGTATGTCTGGACAATCTCATGATAAAAATTGGTATACAAGTGAAAGCTCTTTGAAGCTCCAGGAGCACAAGGAGATGCATGATTAAACCAGACATCCCATGATTTTTAGCTAACAGAGCTGGCTGTTACAATGCATATGAGAATGGTTTTAAATAACTGTTATTTAACAGTATCGGAGGACCCAATACTGTTATTCAGTATTGTGGTGCCATTAACAGTGTTCATAACAATAATATATGCCATTATATAGCATTATTGGCTGTTATTGAGAATATAACAGTGCACACAAACACATAGATATGTGTGCGTGTATTTACATTAAGCAAATTATCAATAAAACATTTCATTAATGTAAAGAGTCCAACCTTGTTAACAAGTCATATTAAATAAGAAAAACAAGCAACGAATATTATTCCACACTTCATTCACAATCGCTCCATCAATCTTGTGCAATGTTTATCACCAAAAAAAAAAAACTCTCTGCAAATTCAATACAGGGCACCATGCTTGAACCTATGCAATTCTGAGCATAGCATTTGAAGCAGGCACTAGCCTAAAAAGAACAAAACTAAGAGTACTCAATGAACAGGCAGGATACTGAACAAAGAAAAAAGGCAAATAGGTCTCAACCTCGCGGGACTGATGAACATTTGAAGAAGCCAGATTCTTCAAATCAGGGACAGCAGCACCTTCTGTCATGGGTTCCTGTGCTGTGGACTCCTTCTCATGAGCATTGTCTGGCTGCATGTTTTCTACTGCATCCTGCTTGAGGGTTTTAGAAGTTTTTGGTTTGCTGTTGTAGTCACCATTCAACACCACACCAATTTCTGCACTTGCCCTTTTCCTGATATGGGCATGTAGCGAAAATAAGAACAAGTTTCATGGGATATGCAGTGATAGCAATAACTGCCAATTAAGCAAATACAAAAACAACATATTCTCACCTGCTGTTATTGTGGTCAACTATCTGGGGAGAACTTGGCTTGTTGGAAAATAATATTCCACGTAAAGGCTTTCCATCTACAGTGGTCTCGATGGTATATCCATGTGGAAGGCTTTCAGTAACTTTGGCTTGAAATGTCTTCTTCCCTTGATGAAGTTGTCTTTGATTCAATGGGAAATTTTCTCTGCCTGCAAGTAAAAGCACAAATTTGTTAAGTATTCAACTTGCATGCCCTTTTAAAGAACATTTCATACCATGATCATTAACATCATCATGAAACCTTGGCCACACTGGCCCAAGTGCTAGTCTTATCATGTTACCATCAAGGTAAGTCATAATTGGCTTCTCTTTGTTTTCAGCTGATATAACATCATTATTGAGGTCTTAAACAACATACTGTCACGCTAACAAAAAGAATTAGTAACCAGGAAAAGGTTCACACCTGATTTGCATGCTTAAAGAAGTTAAATCACAAACAAAATGACTCAAAAAGCATCAGTATACTGATCGCCAGGAAAGTAAATAATAAAGTTGCAATAAAGGGAATCATGCAGAAATATAAATGTTGGAAATTGAAAGCATTTATAAATTTCAATGCACAAATTCCTTTTTGCCACTGTTGGAATATTATGTGGTAATTCTGGAAACCACTATCTAGAACTTTTCAAGATCCAGGAAAGATGCCATAGATTTTTTCCATAATTTAACAATGCAGTATTGCGCAGATTATTCTTGAAAGTTTAGCAACTCTGGAAAATTACAGGATATAAACTTCTCACCTTTTTCCCTAACCTTTCACGCAAATTAAAATTCATTTCAGATCTACAACTAGCTTGCAAAAGCTCCCCTTTTCTTAAGCATATTAAGTGTACAATCCCAAACAAATTTCAATCAGCCTGAACATTTTTGTTGATGCCAAAAGACTCCAATCTCAGAAAGGAGACTTCAACTCGGGTCATGTAACTGCAGCCTGATTGTTTTGTTGATGCCAAAAGACTATCTGATCCCAGAAAACACAATGGCATTCAGGGACCTTATATGCTTGTAGCTGTCCAAAAATGTCACTAACTTGTTCTGAATAATCCCTGCCATCAAATGCTTTTGACTTGTACACAGTTTAACCCCAATCAATAACATGCCCTAAACCTTTCTTCACTGCAAGAAGACAAAGTCATCAGAATTCCTTGATTACCAGCCAAGCAACAGTAGACATTCTTTATCTGTACAATACCAAACCTTAGGTTGACTATATCTCAACTACCTTCCAAATCAAGACAAATAAACTCGTTCTTCATTCTCATTTGGCCACAGGGGGTGAGAGCTACAGGTTAGAAATTGTCCTAGCCTCCTAGGGCAATGGCATTATAACTGATTTCACTTTCATAAAACTCTTCCTTGCCAATACCATGAATCTTAAAGCATTATAACCCCTCTTAAGTGCTTAAAGTTTAGCCCACCATGAACATACTACTTAAACAGTCAGTGCAGCCCAATACACAATGATAAGAAAAAATGTATCACGTCTTATTACAGAACAATAGTCTCTGAGTAACTGGGCATGCTTCCACACTAGGCAATGGATACGACAAATGGTTATGATGACTGGGAGAAAGACCAAAAGGATGTAAAGTAAAAAATTATCTCAATCCAACTGTGCACATCTTAATAAAGCAAGACTACCAGGAGGGATAAAAACTAAAAAGTTCAACCATATTCTTATCCTCTGTTTAAATAGCATAAAAGTTGCATTTTCCATTGGAACTAGAAAATCACAATGAGCCCTTCGTCGTGGTCCATCCCCAAATTGATAAGAGCATATTTCATAACTTACATTTCCTGCAGGAAGATTATTTCATCTTATCCCCAACCACTTTCACATAAAAAGAAACAGAATCTTGTTATCCCCAGTTGTGCTTTTGAGCTTGTCCCCACTCCATTTCACAAAAGAAAAGGAAACATATCATCCATTTGATGGTGAATAAATCCTCAATTGTGCTTTTGGACATTATGCCAGTAGTAAATATGGATAGAAGAAATTGCACATTCTGACCCAACAAAGAACATCCACTGAACTTATAGGACATTAAGACATTGCATTCCAAGGAACAATATAGAATATTTTCCACATATGCAGATAGATGCCTAGAAGACCACTAATTCCAGATAGAGAATTTATCATTTGACCGAAGAAAAAACAAGCCTACCCTAGTAGTAAATTTGGATAAAAGAAATTGCACATTCTTACCCAACAAAGAACATCCACTGAACATATAGGGCATTAAGACATTGCATTGCAAGGAACAATACAGAATATTTCCCGCATAAGCAGATAGATGCCTAGAAGACCACTAATTCCAGATAGAGAATTTACCATTTTCCTGAAGAAAAAACTGCCACTGAAAGATGTTTTGACAAGCTTCCAAACCAAAAGCTACTCGTACAAAAACTCATTGTAGACTGATATAAACTCATTGTAGATTGATAGAAACAAATCTATTTGTGATATGAAATAATTTTCAAATGAGTGACACTACCAAGGCACTCTCAAGTCAATATTTAGTGATATTGCAAAAGGCAACCTCAATTCTCCCTGGTTCAGATATGAAAAACTACCGGATTGATTTCATGAAAGGTAACTGTGATGAAAAATACAAAGGGAGCAAATAATCCACTTCTTACCTGGTTGGGCATAACTCGGCAAGGTGTGGTGAATGTCAGCATTTGTGTCAATTTGGACTAAAACTTTATCACGCACAGAAGAATTAAGATTTTGTTCTTGGCATTTTAGTTTCAATTGCTTCTTCAGAGATAACTTTTCTAGACGCCATTCATCTTGCACTCTTGTATGTCCTGCAATGAAAAAAATGGATGAAATTACCAAAATAAACAGTGATCTAGACAAATATAAGGGTTTGCAGAGTAAGAAAATTGCAACTCAAAAGCATGCAAGAAATTTTAGTTAAGAAAACATTTAAAACTGTACCAAACCTGTGTGTAAGTAGTACATGTCTTCCAGCGCCTCAAGACTCTTATTGCAGCCACCAATGAAGACAAGCACACCATCCTTCAGTGGATCCAAGCAGTCCCCAGCCACGGAGAATCTTGCAGAAGGTCCATCTCCAGTTGTCATCACCTTAGTCCAAACACCAGTTTCTGCCCCGATAACAAATGTGGATGTTTAGAACTACAAATAAAGATAACCATAACAAGTTTATGTATAATCTGCTCACACTTTCAAAGCCGCAGGACAGACAAGTAAATTATTGAAAATTGGGTGGATTTACAGGGAGAGGGGAGTACATTTTCCTATGCAACTAAAATTTTATCAGCAATAGCATGATACTTACCTACATCAAGCATATAAAAACCATCACATAGATTTTGTGCATCTGTAAATCCACCAAAACAAATAAATTCTTGCCAAAAGCAACAATGGAATGACCAGCTCGAGGTGGCAACTGCCCCGATAACAAATGTGGATGTTTAGAACTACTAGTAACAATAACTATAACAAGTTGATGTATAATACACTCGGACTTTCAAAGCTACAGAAAAGACAAGAAAATTATTGAAAATTTGGTGGATTTACAGGGAGAGGGGAGTGCATTTTCCTATGCAACTAAAATTTTATCAACAATAGCATGATACTTACCAACATCAAGCATATAAAAATCATCATATAGATTTTGGGCATCTGTGAATCCACCAAAAACAAATAAATTCTTGCCAAAAGCAACAGTGGAATGACCAGCTCGAGGTGGCAACTTCTGACCCAATGTGTTCAGCTCCTTCCAAACAAGAGTTTCTAACAAAACACAAGAAAGCTAAAGATTAGGCAACACATTCTTGCATGAATTAACATTTCAAATTATAATTGAAATTAATCATGTGCATGTGTTTGAAAGCAAATACATGACAAATACACACACACAGGCACATGTTGTGTAAGTGCATGCAAATGTATAATATGTAAAATAATGAGCAAAACCTGTATCTAGGATGTGGACATCTGACAAATAATAATCATGCCCATCTTCACCACCAATCACAATGATTTTGTCCCTCCAAGATGAGCAAGTATGGCTATCACGGGCAGAAGGTGGAGTGCCTGTTGTTATTGCTTGTTTCCATACAAAAGTCTCTACAAAAGTAGAACATGAATGACATAATGTCTTCAACGCGCCGCAGAGCATAACAAATTGCAAGAAAATGATAATTGACTAAAATAGTGGAAGACTTGTCCACTTTCAAAGGCCAACCCCAAAGAGTCTATGAAAAGTTAACACATTAGAAAAATTGATTCAGCCCCCCTTAACCCCGCATCCACAACCCCCACCAAGTTTGCACGCGCACACACAAAAAAAAAAATCCTTTAGCCTAGTTAACCTAGGGTGCTAATTGCAAGAAATTGATAATCAACTAGAATAATGGAAAATTTGTCCACTTTCAAAGACCATCCCAAAGAGTCTATGAAAAGTTAACACATATTAGGAAAACCAATTCAGCCCCCCTTAACCCCACATCCACAACCCCCACCACGTGCATACACAAAAAACCCTTTAGCCCAGTTAGCCCAGGTATACCATAGGAAATTGATATATGCATAAATTGTAAACTAAACTGGAGCATGATCATAACCAATACTTGCTGATGGAGGAAGGTACCTGTATTCAAGATGTAAAGATCCTCATAATAGACTTCGTGATAATTATCTGAAGATTTCCCACATCCACCATATATAAAAAGTCGTTTACCAACTAGGGCAGCACCATGACCCTCCCGTGCCTCTGGCCCATCACCTCTCACATTTGGAGTTATCCAAGTATGAGATGCTATAATATGATAACCAATGAAGGAAGTGTAAGTCATATGATTCAATACAAACCAACATAAACATACATGTTAAATCTCATTTCTTAGATACTCTTTCATGATCAGTCTATTTCAGCATACAAAATATTGCTTTCTGACACTTAAGCTATGTAAATCAATGGCCACGTAAAAGACTAGGGCATGACATACAAGGAAAATCAAATGGAAAAGAAATTAAGGACAGGATCACTCACAAGTATCTAAGATAAGAAATTAAGGACAGGATCACTCACAAGTATCTAAGATATGCAGATCATTGAGAGGGTTCTTCCCATCAGTACCTCCAAACACATACAGATTGTCACCAACAGTTGTACAAGTGTGGCTATCTCTCGGAACTGGTGGCGTGCCATTTAACACTGGCTGGCTCCAGGTCTGGTTAACTACAAGTCAACAACCCAAAATCAGAGCATAAAAACATTTAGAGGAAACGAAACTGCAGATGAAAATTCAATAACTCAGAAGGCAACCCATAAATGAATCTCATGTGAAGAAAACATTGAAAAAATTATCCTGAAGGAAACCACGAGCACCCCAGCAAGAGAAGATGAAATCTCACAAGTAGCAAAAGCAACTTGCACTATAGAGTACGATATGATCAAATCCCTAGATAGAAACATGGTCCCATATCACATTGACTCTAAAATAGGACTTAATCAACTTTCAAGTAATTTCAAACACCAAACAAGTCTAGCAACATTCCAATAAAAAAGCAAATCAACAAGTTACAGGGAAAAAAAGAGTGAAATAACTCCAATAATCGCACTTCCTCTAAGCACCAAACATTAACTGACAAAATTAATGCCAAAAAACACAAAAATAATTCCACAAAATCCCCCCCAAAAAAATTTAATGACTTCTCATTATAACAAAAATAAAAAGGAAAGGAAAAAAATCGAACTTTATAGAAGCACCAAACAAAACCACCCAAAATTGCAAAAGACTATAAACGAAAGACGCCCAACAATTAAAGACAACAGAAGTAGAAGAAGTGATGACCCACCAGTATCAAAGACATGAACTTGGTTGGTCTGGCAGTTATCTTTGCCATAGCCACCAAAAACATATAGAAATCTTCCTCCTTTAATTGAATTACAAGTGTGTCCCCACCTCTTCCCTGGCCCATTTAACTCTTCTATTTGAACTCCTTGCTGCTGCTGCTGCTGCACCCTTTCCCATCTCATTTTTCTTTTCGTTTTTTTTCAGGGAAAATTTTCCCTTCGTGAGGAAAGTGTGGGAAAATTAAAATATAAAGATGAGGTTATTATGTCTCCCACCACAGAGAATGAAAATCAAAATGTATAAAAATAAAAGGAGTAGGGATAATTAGCACTGTAGATTATATCAGAGTTTGTTGTTGTTTTATTTTTAGTTTTCATGCAGAACACAGCCTAAGGGTGTCTCTATTTTTCCAAGAACAATATAAAAATGCATTATTTTTACAAATTAGAGAAAAGAAAAGGACTTTTTCATTTTCCCTTATAAAGCTTGGGCTGGAAAACATCCAAAAAGATGTTCCCAAATTTTTCCACCCGCTGTGCATAATGGAAAAGGTGCTTCTCCATCTATTCTCCAGGTAAATGATTGTTGTTTACAATAATAACCTTGTTATTTTCTTATAATGACATTTGTATTTTACGCGCACACACACATCTTATCCCTTCCCTAAAACCCTCGTCATCTTGTCATTATCATGAGTATTGTTAGGAGTGTATAATTATTGTTTTTAAAAATATTTTTTATTTAAAAATATATTAAAATATATTTTTTAATAAACTTTAAAAATTATTTTTAACATTAATATATTAAAATAATTTAAAATTAATTTGAAGTAAAAAAATATAAAAAATTAATTTTTTTAAACACTATATATATGCTTTAACAGCTCCATGAATTTCTCACACTTTGTGAATAAAGTTCCAATCTTTTTTTACAGCTCAACCTTTTGTATTAGCTTATGTTAATCTTTGTGTTTTTTTTAATCTGGGTTTTGATTTGTTTTGGGTTCTACGCCGGATTTATTATATCTTCACCATCTCATACTTCTATTAAGGTAAAAGTAATTGATTTATTTTTTAGTCTTTATCTGTTATATCTTTTCTATCTCAAACTTCAATCTTCTCTCCAATTAAGGTGTTCGCATGCTCTGCAGATTATAATATGAAAATCAAACAACAATAATAAGTTGATGTAGTTAATTATTTTATTTAATAAATAGTTTAAAAAATATATGAATAGTACGTTGTTTACCAAGCTTGCTGATAAAATGCAAACATAATTATTTTCAAAAATTAGTCCAACACCACCACCTAGCATTAAACCACCACGTAGCATTGAAAACATGTTAGTTTAAAAAATATAGCAAATCCCCAGCAGCTGTATGTGGGAATGGCATTGAAATTCCTAATAAACATTAAATAAGGCAAAAGAACATATTTTCATGTAAGGTTAGTAAATAATACATTACCAAACAAATAAAGTATATATACTATAACATGTCTATAAATAAATTAAAATCATCATAATAATTAACATAATTATAATAAATAATTAACATATTTAAATCATAATTAATTTTGTATCTCCATAAAACCTTCTCGTCACCATCATCTAGTAGTGTCAAAAATATCTCCTCATTCGACTTAAAATATATGCTACTCCTTTTAATTTAGAAGAAAGGGGTGTTAATCCAAATGTTAGCTCATATAACACAATTCTATTACGAACACTAAAAGATGTGATTGTCATTCTATTAATAAACAATCCAAGCAAAATCGTTATGTCCTGTAATGTTAGTGTCATCTCTTCATGTCTAAGATGGAACATGTGTATCCTACATCTTTATCACTCAATCAATACATAGATCAAGTCACGATTAAGCTTGATGTGGTAAAAACAATTGGCATATAAAAAACCCAGCCTATACTACATATAGTTAGACTCATTTATATAGTCAAATCCATCCATATGCATGCCAACAAATAATAGTCTCATTGTATATAACAATTTAAATTATAATTATTTAAAATATAACATTTAATGATAATTAAATTAAACATAAATTAAAAATATATTAAAGTTGAATATTCTTACAATGCCATCAAATATGTCCTTCAAACATTGTCGATCCTACAATCACAAGGTATAAGTATTAATGGGTTCGGTAGGCATATACCGACTCATGCTCAACATACTCATGTTTAATATGAATATCATTGGCATGATCTTTATGCTCATAGTAATGCTCAACTTGATCATCATTCAAATATGGACGCTCAACATGAATAGACATTTTACCACCTTGAGTGCATGACATCCTTTGTAATAATATATATAATTGATGTAAAATTATATAAGTTTAATATGCTTAAAAAATATTGTAATATATCATAACATGACCTAACAAATTGTTATACATACATTGTCGATCATAACATGTTTTTCTATTATATCATGTGTCATTGCATATGCTACACCTATAATATATATGACCTTCTTATACATCCATCTTGTTATGGTAGCTGGGTCTTTAAATTTATAATTGAAGTTGCTAACAAAATATTTGGCACAATACTAATGGCATCCTAAAAGTTAATGTCAAATTTTTGCTACTTCATTTTTTATGCCTACATATATATTTGATATTATACATATATCGATTCTACCATCAGTAACGTATCTTTGTAAGTAAAGCAAAAATCATCTCCAATTGTCACTATTTTTTCATCAATAGTTATAAAAGCTAACGATAATATCTCATTATTTGCATAAAAAGCAATTGCAATCAATAATTACCCATCATATTACCCACATAAATATGTCCAATCAATATTGACAAATGATCTATAGTACTTGAAACCTTTAACACAAGATCTAAGTGACTAAAAAAACTCTTCAAAAAGCCACTTAACTATCATTAAGATCTCTTTTTTGTCTCCAATCAACAACCATTCCAGGATTTGATTATTTTATTACCAATAACAACCTAAGCAATTTCTCAAAAGACTTCTTATATGAATCAAAAAGATACTCAATCACCTTTTGTTTTGCAACTCATGCTTTGTTATCTGATATTTTATACTTGTAATTCAATTTTATTTCATCTTGTATGCTTCAATCGTCATTGAAAGAATATTCATTACAAGGATTGATATAGCACTAGCAATAAATTTTGAATTAAGTTGATGGTGGTCTTTTTAGATAAATATCGAAATATATGTGTGATTCTTTTAATTTTTCTATCTCAGATGATTTCAACCTCTTATGAAATTCCCCATATAAATAACACTCGTATTATAGCGCTTGCACACATTGTAATTGAACAAATATTGAATTCGATTGTTGGACTCGATACTTAACTAAGTGTGCAATATGCCACCACTTAATAATATTAACCAATTTATTTTTACTACTAAGTGTTTCACCAAGCTCCAAATTAGACCCTCTTGGCATATGTTTATAACTAAGTATCCAATCATGTGAAACAAAAAAACTAGACCCCAAAACATCTTTAAATTCAGGAACATGATAATAATCTCATCCTCAATATTATTATCATTATCAACATCATCATCAACATCATTTTCATTGTCACTAGGCTTAAAATAGTCAAATATATGTTAATCAACAAAAAACTTATTAAACATAATATCATTTACCTTTACAACAAATTATCCAACAATAAGCTATTTTCACCTATATCAATTGAATTTCAAGAACCAAGAGAAATTAGGACACACAAAGATTTTGGTGGACTGCTCACATACAATATCTTCATGTTTAAACCACATTGAATGAAAGAATTAATCATTGTCTTATAACTACCATCGCAAATAATTGGTACAAGATAATTTTGTTGTTCATTAATTTGACACCTCCAAATTATTTTAACATCAATATCATTATAGTTCCATACAATTTCATGACAAATGGTTTTTTTTATTTTTATATATGACACACCTAAATTACCAATTAACAACAAACTACTCCTAGCATTATTTATAGCAAATTCAATCAAATTCTCAAAATTTAACATTAAAACAAACTTAATAAAAAACAAAACATAATTCATGATACATTATCAATTGATATTGTCATGATCAATTTCATTAAATCAAACACAAATCCATAGAAAAATAATAGAATACAAAGAAAATACTAAATTCATTAACTTATCAACAATTCAATGGAACATGTAATTTATTATAATTCAACTAGATTTATGTTTTGCATATTAGCTGATTTCAACAATATACACAAACTTTCTAATTAGATAACTTAACCTAAATTAAATGTAGCACATAATTAATTTATAATTAACTTAACTTATTTTTATGTTTTTATGTTAAACTGTATCTAATAAACTCTAATTGTTGTATTCTTGATTAATTTATCCTTAACTTAACAAACTTAAGATTCATTATAAATCCTAAATTCAATTTAAATAATTATTGAATATCAACCAAATCAAATGCAAATTAATAATAATATAATATGTTTACTTTACTTATAAAATTATAAAAAAGACTAGGCAATGTGAACAACAATCAAGGAAACAAAAGGAACAATGAATTTTTAACATAAAAACATCAAAAGAATACTTGAAGACTAAAATAAGTTTGATTTTTAGTTGTTTTAAGAGTAAAATCAAAGTGATTAATAAGTTTTTTAAATGATAAATATATGTGTCAATGATTTTTTATGAAAAAAACAATATTTATATATTTTACTAGTATTTAATTTATTTAAATTTTAATTAATATCGTGTCTTTTTATGTTAATGGTTTTTGATGAAAGAGATAATGCTTATATGTTTTGCTGATATTCAATTTGTTTAAATTTTAATTAATATCATACTTATAAAATACAACATTTTAAATCATGGCTCTTGAAAAAGCACTATAAATAATTTTCAAGCTTCGGAATTGCGATATACACTAAATGTCCCCGTCATATGTTTTAATTTATTGTCCTAATTTTTTTTTTAAAAAACCCAAATATTACTCCACCTTTCACAAACATATTATATTGCAGAAAGTTAAGAGGCCGTTATTTTTTTATTTTTACCGCAATGATGGAGATTCTTATGCACAGAGACAGATATATCACAAGTTTATCTCTCCAGCAACGCTTAATAAAACTTACTTTACCCTTCATAAAGGAAAGAAATTCCCAGCAACAAGCCATATTTCACTTTTGTCGGCTATGCATAGTTAAAGAGCTTTTGTGAGCACTGAGCAGTGAAAACAGCTCTGTTTAAAAGAAGAACCAGTTGTGCTGTTGTCAAATCAATAGTTGACACGCACACTACTTCTGAGCCAGAGCTACTCATATTGCCTTTCCTCTCTCACCAGTTACATCAAACAAGAATCTGCTATGAACACAACCCAAGCAATCCAAAACGATTAAGTACACAAGTGACGACAGATTCTTACATTACTGTGATAAGACGTTAAGAAATCAAGCTTTCTCACGAGTTCCTTACGTTTTCTCAAAAACCAATTAGAAGCAACATCAAAGAA